TGCATGGTTGTGGTCTAGAATTTTCCTTGAACAATGGTCCTTTCACCAGTCTGTGACTAAGGGAGATACCACGGCCTGCCTTATCATTCTGTTATGGGAAGAAGTAGGTTATAACATGTGGAAATGCTGTGTACTATAGAATACTTCAACATGGTAAGTGCTAATTTTATAAATGCATCATTTAAAGTTATTAGAAAATTTCCCTTGCAAAACTCAGTCTTTAAATAAATAATAAATGAGAAAGTTTAGAGAGAGAGAGAAAATCACTGACTGCATCCTAATGGATACCTTTCCTTTTTAATGGATGCATAATTGACATAACATTGTATTAATTTCAAGTGGATACCATTTAATGTGATGCAAGTTTCATGTTAATACCCATTTAATGTTCTCCGACCCATGACATATTGACCTTCAGCACAGAAAAAGAGGCTCTTTCACTACACAAAATAATTGATAGAAATTCATTTTTATTTGGAAAGTGTGCAGGTAATAATCACTGAATACAGTTCTCAGCCATAGTATTCAAACCCAGACACCACAAAATCAGTGAATGCAATGATTTCTGAAGTCACTAGAACTTTGGTACAACAAAATAATGACCTAATAGGGTCCGTCAGGCACCACAGTCTACTCAGGAGCATATAGAAAAAATAACGCTATACTTAAAGTTTTAAGTTACATTCATAGCACTAGTCAAAACAAAGATATGTGTGTAGATGACAGACAAAAGCAACCAAACGTGCTTAGCCTAAATTTTAGGACACAATCACTTAACGGTAGACCATTGGGATACATGAAGCGCATCAGTGTTATGTCAGAACACTGTCTACTTTTGACACATTAAGCAGGGAAACTTAAATAATTTCTTAAATAATTTCAGAGAGAGTCAGTATCTTTTACAAGGCTCTGGAAACAAAAGCCCTATTTGTACAAGGAGGCTGTTGACTAAGTTGTAATATACTATCTGGAATATAATTGGATTCTGTGAAAGAAATGCAAGTAACATACAAAATGAAACAGAACTCTTTCTTTTTCGGTAACTTGAGATATATTAAACATTTTCAATCAAATACAATGACCTCAAGTTGACTACCCATTGGTAATTTCCAATATTATCTACTAAAATTAGTTGTGTCTCCGGTTTTAAATTATGATTGTGATTTTTATTAGTTCTTAGCTTGTGATAATAGTGTCTGTTTATGAAATGGAATAAACCTTACAAGCCAACTTCTATATGTTCTCCACTGAGCCCGAAATGAACCCTGTGAGACACGCAGGGTTTATAAGTCCCACATGAGGAAAAACCACTAAGATACTTAATAACAGATATATGCCCCCAACTTGTTCTTTCTGGACAAGGGTTCCTCTCAATAAGCATTTGAAAAAAATAACCTGGAGAATAAAAGATTAAGGATAAGCATATGTTACTATGTATCAGTAGGAACACTATTTTGATGGGCCAACAGATATAAAGACAACAGCCACTGGTTAAATGAGGGACCCATTAGGTTAAGGACAGATATACCAGCTCCTACACAATTTCCTAAAGATCCTTAAAGACTAAGTCAGCTGAGGGGTATTAGTCATGACTTCCACAATCTGTGGGAAAGAAAAGAACCTGAAAACATTGAAATGACTCATTCCAAAGATGATTCGTTTGTATTTTTTTTCTTTAAAAGATGACACCCTTTAAAAGAATCCCACTAGTTTGTCACTGTTTTCTCTCCTCTCTATATATGATGATAGGAAATCTCCCTCTGCCCCTCTCCGCCCCACCCCAATTTCCCCCACCATAGGTGGGGGGAGATTTCCTATCATCATATATGTGATGCTACTCCAGTTTTTGAGGTTCAGATAAATAAAATGTTCCCAAGTTTCCAAAAGTTTGATGTTAATAATGAAATATTTTTTAGCTTAAATATTTTTATTAGCTTAGTTCTAAGGATAGACTCCTCTACTTGTTAGATAAAAAGGATGAATAAATATTTCCCACATATCTACTTACAAAAACTCTTTCTGTTACTCTGTTTTTTCCTACCTAAAAATCAACCTTTTAAGTATGAACTTCTCCATGTTCTGCCAGATCTAAGGACTCTATATAGACAACTTTTAAATTTTATCTCTCTCTATAGTGCTTGCTCAATAATGTCATCATGAGTGGGTCTTCACCCAAGCGTTCTAAGAAAATAAGTTTATAACATTCCCTATATATCTAGCAATAATTTTTATCAGTTCTACTTTGTGAGACAAGTATTTTCATGGATTTATAAAGCATTGAGACAACACTCATCTCAGATAATATTCTATATCCACTGTCCCTGGTAAGAGCTCAGCACTCGCCCCAGAAATAAGTTTATATCATATTGCTCACAAAATCATCAAGAAAAAAAAACCACCATAGCTTTTGGTGAACTTTTAGACAACGTTTTCAAATACAGACAGCATCTTAGCATCCTCAAAAAATGATAAAGCTTTCCCTAAAATACTTAAACATTCTAGACACATCTTAAAGCTAGGTAGTAGAGATGAAAGTAAACTTTGAAAATCACTTTGGTTAACATCAGCTCTCAGAACGTCCTCTTAAAGAATTATTCAGTATCTTAGGAAACAGAAATTTCAATATCATTTCTTTAAAGTTTGAGTTTTAAACCCTTAAATTCTTTATGGATGAGGATTTTCCTTCAAGTGGGTGAGTGTGATACACAATGAGGAAAGCATGTGCCCCCCTCCCTCCTTTTTATTCAGGTGAACAGAGACATGGGCAGCAAACAATCCTGTTTCATAGACACAGTCTCCAGGTTATACACTCTACCTAGCTGTACACTCTCTCTATCACACATATTTACACAGTTCTCTACCTGCTGTGCGCACTCTATTGGTGAAAATATATACGTTTCATCAAATTTGTTGATTCAATTTACAGTTTAAAAATATTTGGCTATTATTACTTTTTAATATAGTCATGTCCTTCTCTGGGCTCAAGCTTCTGTCTCTTACAAGGGCTGATTAAAACTCTTGCCCAGTTCATCCAACCTGATTGGCAGAGGGTAACTGATACTAGAAGCATAAGAAAGACACCCCCTAAAAAAAAAAAAAAAAAAAAAAAAAAAAAGACACCCCCTGATACAAAAAAAAAAAAATGACCCATCTGGTTAAAAACAACAGGTAAAAGGTTTACTTTAGAAAATGCTGGCGTTGAATTGTGTGCAGTGTGATAGCTGATACTATGGAAATGGTGGCAAACTGGCTAGAGCGTGACTTGGAAAGAATTTTAAAACTCTTATGTAGAGACCTGCAAGCTCAACTCCCAGCACTTAATATTTTCTCCGCCGATTCCTGACCTGCCACCCTCATCATACCAAGACAAACACTGTGTTCTCTCAACTATTTTTGATACATTTCTCAAAGGAATTTTCTCTTTTTACACGGAAAGGTAACCTTGTACCTATTTAGTTAAGTCTCAAGAAATGCTCACTCCATGAGAAGTGAGCTAGGAGACCAGGAGACGGTGGTAATGGTCTCCGATCCCGATGACGTCCTTGAACCCTTTGCCAAAGACATCAAAGACCTTAAGCTGTGTTCATGTCTCTGTGAGGCCTTCCTATAATGACGTTATAGGAAGTGAGCTATAGGTTGGAGACACATGTGGTCACAGCAGTATCCGAGGCACGGTGTTTGAGCGATGTAAACATTGAAACAGAGTGACCACTCCAGAAGTGGTTTCTATACCAGAAAGGAATGTCATGTACACTTCAAAGATTTTTCCAAAATACAATTTGGCTTCCTAGAGCATTTGGGAGATAATTAGTTACAGGCTCATCTTGGCTAAACATATATATTGTTGTGGGTTAAAGGGGCTATGCAATCCTTGAAAGTGGTCTACACACTACTTCAGGGCCCCAAATTAATTTGAGGTTGTGAAATAAATAATACAGACTAATTAATTGGGAAATAATAAGAGAAGGAATTTCTATTAACGTTGACATGGAATTTGGGGTCAGATGTCAAACTTGACAGAAAATATTTCTTAGATCAAGTTTTTATAAGTAGAATACCACTACAAAGTAATTTTCTTGTCTTAAGTTTTGTCGTACTTGAGATTATTACCCAATAATTGTTATTTTTACAGTCGTAGTTCTATAATTATGGGCATCATCACCCTCTGCTTCACGCTGCAACTATCAAATGACAATCTTAAAATAAACCCTGAATAAATGCTTGTTAAATAGCTGACAATGACAGAAATTTGGCATAAGTAAGTCAATCATGTAACTGGAAAATCAAAAGAAACAAAAAGACATATCCAAAATAGAATACTTTCAGGGTTTTTACAAAGGCTAAACATTCCCTATTATGGAAATGCAGGTGATATCACAACTTGGATCCAAATAAGACATTGACATAATGACCTCAAAAGTTCACCAAATTTTGCTAAAACAATAGCTACATTGTTTCTGTTCACTTTCTTCCAAAAGAAACATCTTTCATGTTAGCCAATAGCTTTCTATCCTCAGGGCACAGGTACTGAGGTCATGAAGAACATTGCGGAGAAAAATACCATTGGCGGAATACCCGAGTGTGATCTGTCTCAGAAGCTGGCTTTGTGCTGCAGAAGTCAGGGGAACTGGGCAGCAGACACCCAGAACTCCACCAGGCACTAGCCCATCAAAGGTTCCAGATCACTGATTCAGGGCACATTTCTGGGTCTAGTCCACACTAAGAACACTGTAAGTAGACATTCCCTTGGATCTGAGTTCCTAAAACGGATTTGATACCAGATAGATGTTGGTAGGCAGAAGTTAAGGGGTGGGGGGAGCTGGGTTTAGGGTTTCCAGTGTCTGAAACTTAATAAAATAAGTATGCATCAAATTGGAAAAATGAAGTTTAATTGGCAAAATTTTATAGTAAGAGGAACCATTCTGAAGAAAAATCATATACTCATAGTAAAAAAAGAAAACGTGAAGTGTAATGCCTTTGTTATTGATAAAATTCACTGAAATATTTAAATAATGGTTTAATAGGAAGTGATAATGATAAGAATAATGATAAGAATAGGCAAATGAAAAATACCTTTAAGCACGGCAGCTTCTTGTGGAAAAAAAATAAAGCGATTAACCAATTTTTGGTGAGATATGATACAGTTCCATTCCTGCCCAACCCCCAAATATAGGTCAACTATGGGCATTTTGCCTTAAGCAAAATAAAAACAAGTGCTAAATACATTGTAACATGGCATGAGTTATCATCAATTCTTATGTGATTAGTGACATGAAAATTCAGAGTGACCATAAAATGGATCCATGATTATTCTGAAATTGTTGGTCTACAAAGTGACACACCTGTATTTTCACAATTGATTCAAAGCCAGAGTATGGGTTAGAGAGGGAAAAAATCGATTTAGAGTTTCCGGGATTTTGTAAATTGAAAAGAAAACCACAATAAATAGTCACTTTCTGTTTCACATCACCAGCATATTTATCTAAAAGAAATTAAGGTGAAATCGTTTTTGTTGACTGCATTTTTAAAAAGAGATTTTTAAAAAATAAACAGCAACCTTTAACTTGTGCTGGTGACTATTTATCACCATTTGCTAAGAAAAATGAAATGGGAAGCCAAACACTGAACGTATTTCTAAAATTCTGTTTGAAATGGAAACCTCTGGATCATCTCTTAATCCCAGCTGATAATGTCAACTTCTCATTGGCTTGAGTGAAAGTTGGCTAAGTGACTCTCCCAGACATCTGTAACAGATACATTTAATTCCATTTGTCTAATGCCATGTTCCCATAGTTTCATTTTTCTCCCAGGGCATTTTCTCTTGTACATTGTCATCCACAATCTTGTTCTTGTCTATGTGCCATTTATTAATAATATAAAAATGGCATTATTACACACACTCCTACATGCTAGCAGAAGTCTGACATTCATCCTCTCATAACCTCACCACTAATTAAGTCATTCTAATACAGCGTATTGGGTGTACAGAGCAATGTCATTGTTAATGATCCATTTAGAATTCTTTATTGTGTATCCATTTTTAACTATGTTTCCCCAATGCAAACCTAAAAGTAATAATCAGATTCTACATGTGAAGTAACCCCAATCTTTTTTAAAAAAATCAACTTTCTATGTTCTCCCTTTGGTAGCCCATCCCTTTCTCCATGTGACAGGGTAATTTTTGTTCTCATTTACAACTCACTGTCATTTCATCTGTGTACTCCCTTACACACTTGTCTTCTTTATAAAAACAAAACAAAACCAAAAAAAAAACCTGGGCATCCATGATGGTGAGATCACGTTAGGAATCTTTGATCTTGTTTGAAGGGGCTTCAGAAACAACTGGTCAGTTCTTTAGAATACTGCTGACTATTTTGGTTTCTTAAAATACACTTTCTGGCAGAAAAAGAAAGATGTGCCATTATGCATGGTCTACCCAACAGTTGTGTGGTCTGTCGCTGTTTGGGGAAGTAACATTTGGGCGGGACCTGGATGGAGTCCCTGTGTGAGGTCTAGCAGGTGCATTTCTTCTCTGCTGGTTTCTCCCCATCGAGCTTCCCAGAGTTTCCCCCATTGACAGAGTCGGGGACTTGTGTCTTCTCTACACACTGTTCCATTCGCTTCATTATTAAGTCCAGAAGAGTTTCCACAGCCTTCTCCACATCTTGGCCAGTCGCCGCACTTGTTTCAAAATATGGTATGCTAGCATGGAAGAGATGAGAAATATTTTCGAGAGGAAGAAATCGGAAACGAGGCAACAAGATGTACAAATGAGTCACACATATGAAAATATGGCTGACAGAGATTGCACAATATTCAGGGTTTTGCTGGCTGAGTTGGAAAGCATCCCTGTTCTTACTCAGGGAGTAACAACTGGTGAGCTGCTCATTAGTGTGAATATAACCAGTACTATGGGCAAGAAAGCAGATACAGGAGGTGCTCAGGAACTTGAAGTTAAGGCACTATAACTATTCTTTAAAGTTTAAGAGGGTAAAAAACGGTAAACTAGTGATCAATGTTACTTCCCTTCTAATCAATTATCTATAAATCTGATTTAGAAATTACACTGCCACTGAGTAGGATATTCCTGTGACACAGTCTCTACTTACTCGGAATCAAAAGTTACAAGAACACCTGTACAGCTCTAATGTTCTCAAGGACAATCCAAAAAGAATGGCAGGTGTGATGAAACTGCTTTCAATTAAAAAAAAATCATGACAACGTCTGATTTGGAAGTCAAGTTATAATTGCATGGGGTGTCTTAAAATTTTTCATTTGCCATTTAAGTTCATTGAGAATAAAGGCTGCAATATTATGTCCACACAGGTATCACCTTTAGAGGTTTGCAGCTATCAATCGAGAGGCACTAGTAGAGGATCGTGTTGAAGAACATGAGTTCTGATCTCAGACTGCCTCGGTTCAAGTCAGCTCTGCTGCTTACCAGCTTAGCGGATGTGGCCTCCCCTCAGTTATTAATCTCTCTATGCCTAATTTTCATATATAAAGTGGGATAACTCTAGGCCTGCTCCATATGGTTATGAGGGGTTAAATCAATTAAAATCTATGAACAGTTGCTAGGACCTAATAAGTATGCAGTAAATGTTAGCTGCTATTATTAAGGAGTAATTGATTTAAAATATCACATCCATTCCTCTGGAAGATCTTTGTAATTCCTAGTCTCGACCTTGTGTCCCTGCCCCATTACTTAGCAGCAGTGTGCAAGGTTGGATGACACTGCCAGGCGACTGACTTACCTGTATTTGTCAGCCAGGTCCCGGGCTTGCCGCTCATTGACTTCCCTTTGGTCTGGTAAGTCTGCCTTGTTTCCAATTAATACTATATCTGGATTTTCACAATAAGCATTTGCTTGCAGTTGGCCTTAGAAAGAAAGCAGATGGAACCGGCAAGCTAGTTAAAAACAAGCAATGTCAAATGACTGCTCATATGAGATTCCTAATCTAATTGTTTATCTCCAGCTTTTTATATTGTAGTAGCCACGTAAAATGGACACACTGCCTCACAAGCTGCAGGTTGTGAAGATCAGTCATCATTTGCATGAAGCACCTGTATGAACACCTACCAGTGCTCTTCTCCATCTGAGGACGTGCCCTCCAAGAGGGACATACTGTTTCATACCACTTGTTCCTCAAACGTAAGTGGAGAAAACAGAACATGATTTTAAAGTACACAAATTTGTTCTTTCCTTTAAGAGCTTAGGTGATGATCTAAGAGCAGAACAGTTTTGAACCACCACAAAGTCAGGTAAAAGCAATTGTAAGACAGGAAACTTGGTTTTTGTCCTTTTTCCCCCCAGGAAATGAGAGAGAGAGAGAGAGAGAGAGAGAGAGAAGAGAGAGAGAGAGAGAAGGAAGGTGATAAGAAATGTGTCAACCTATGATTTGGCAGTTAGAGGGATTACTCTAATGTTATCACAGGGCCTGCTGCATGCAATTGCCAAGGAAGAAGACAAAGGCTTACCCTATAACATCGACTATTTGCGTGTTAGAAATGAAAGTGTTTTAGACATAGCAATGAATTGTCTTAAATCCCAATAGTATCCTTCTGAAAAAAAATAAATAAAACAAGGAAGAGACTCATCTACCCTGACAAAGGATGAAGAAATCATTCTCTGAAAGTATGTATCGAATAATCTTATCTCCTCATCTCCTCAGAATCTAATAACACCAAAGTTTGAATAAGGAAATATAACAATAAAAGGAAAGAGAGACAAATCCTAGGATAATTACTCATTTAGAGAAGAAATATTTTTCCCCAAGGTAACAACTGTTATTAAACTCACATTTAAAGCAGATTATATATATATATCATTACAAATAATATATAATGACATATATATTAGATCTAGCAAATAAAGTATTATCTTCAGTGCCACATCAAGTAAAATAAAAATAATACACTATTCTTCTATGCTGACATATATTAATTTGGCTTTAGTGACTGATTAGGTGACTTTTAACTTCACAGTAGATCAAAATTGTGTCGTTTTTCTATACAAGGCTTCCTCATATTGACTATTTTTTTTGGAAGAAAAAAAAGTACAATTTCAATGTGAGCTGCTTGACTGGCACACGGTCCCTCATCTTCACGTGGCTGGTCCTCTGCAGCAGCTTCTCTCCTGGCTGCCCTGTAGTTAACTAACCCATTACCTAACCCACGTGCATGGGAACACAGTTTAGGTGCCGGTGTACCCTCTCAGGAAAAGCAGCTGCTTTTCTCTATGTCCTTTCTAGGTTAGATGTAATAGATGTGGAAGCTCGCATATTTCTAAGACAGGGAAACTTTTTTCTGTTGAGGGCCATTTGGATATTTATCACATCATTCATGGGCCATACCAAATGATCAACTTTAAACTTAGCCTGCTATATGTGCTCAAACATTTCATTAACTCACCCCTGATGCCATGGCAGGCCCAGACCAAATGATTTTGAGAGCCTTCTACAGCCTGGCCCGTGGGCTGGGTGTTCCCACCCTTGTTCTAGGAGGTCCTTTAGATGGCTGGACAAATGGAATTAATGGCCTTACAACTGCAAAATTGAAGACCTTACATATGGGGGATCTGAAGCAACATCGGCTTCCTCTAAGAGTGTCAAAGTAAAATACAATTCCAGGCCACCTTGGGGGGTGCACATCAAGGCCACCACTTTGAAGGTGACACCGGAAACTCTAAACTCATGACTTCCCAAGGTTATTCTTTCATCTTGTGAGGCAAACAAGCAAACACGCAGAGCTCTTGGGTCCCAAAGTGACAAACACAGGTTACATGGTCCCACTTACTCATCCAGTTTCTGACATTTAAGAAGCTCTGTTGACTGGTGAGGTCAAACATTAATAAGAAACCCATGGCATCTCTGAAAAATGCGGTCGTGAGGCTCCGGAATCTGCCAAGAAAGCACAGTGGGTAGTTCTGAAAGTTAGTCCACGAACATATAGTGGTGGCAATACCGACACTGTTTCCCTCTCAACTATTAAATCTCTATGGCATCCATTATGGGTTACCCTATGGAATGGGAGGTGACCCTGAAAGACTGCTGAGGTGCAGAGGAGGATGTCTGCTGGTAGGTTCTTTGGAAGACCACATCCTGGCTTTATGTTCCACAGCACTTACGCACAAGGAATTTGTAACATTTAATCGCACACATGCTTACACAGCCCCTTGGACTCGTTGGCTCATGGGCCTCCTGTGATCCACAAATAAAACTGAGAACACTTTAGAATATTGGGACTTTAACTTATACTTTTCAGTCATTCTTGTCTGTGCCCAGAAACTTTGGCTAGAAAATGAGTGCTTATGATGACATGTGGAAAGCCACAGCTCGTTAGCATCTGGATCCAGAGTTCTTTTATAGGGAAAAGCAATGTTGGTGAGAAAACTCTGGTGAGCACTCTTTGGAGTTAGAGAGTGGCATCTATGTCTCAAGAGGAAGAGGGAAGACAGTGAAGAAAGGAGGATGAGGAAAATGACTATGGGAACTGAGGGAAGGTCAAACTCAGTTGTTAGGGAGAAAAGGGAGCACTCATATCTATTGGAGGATTTTGAAGAATACACTCTGTTGTGGGCAGTGTAAAGGCTGTCTCTCCTCTGCTCTGACCCCCTCCGCCACAACATCCTCAGTGCAGTGGATCATGTGCTGAGGCCCACATTAATGTCAGGAACAGGTGAAACCAGAGTCCACATATACGGACCGGAGAAGGTGCATTTGGCAATACATTTTTAGAAAGGCACATAACTTTGAAATTAAGAAGAATATCGCTTCCTATCCTACATGTCCTCAATTTTGGTCCCCTATTTTAGCTTATTTGTAGATTCTATGGTTTCCTCAAGTTCTATTCTTGACCTTGTCTTACTCTACACACATTCACTGGGTAATCTCATCCACTTCCTGGCTCAATTATCACCAATGTGTTGAACCCCACATTTATAGATCTAGAATTTGCCTGCCTTCATACTGTGTGACCAATTACTTGCTGGATATTTCCTGTTGGAGGAACCTAGCATACCTGTACCTTCCCTTGTCTAAAACCAAACAAGCCTTTCTTTCTGATTTCCTTTCCTGTCTTGGTTATCACCAACCTTCTGGTTGGTGACCCTCTTTCTCCTTCACCTCCTGTATTCAATCAACAAATATCTCCTGTTTTTCATCTTTATGTCCATCCACCTTGCCACTACTCTAATTTCAAACCCATCATCTTTCACCTGGATAACTTCAACAGCCTTCTCAATAGACTTCCTGTCTCTAGTTTTTTGGGTACCCGTCCCTTCCCTGGTTTCTTCCTCTGATTATATAAATCACCTGATAAAAACACTTTTAAGATAATGACTGAACTGTTTAATAAGCTGTCACGGCTCACTAGCCAGATTCATCTCTGGACTTCCCACAGGCATGCTGATCTTCTTTTAGTTCTTAGAAAGTTCACTCTCTCCCCTGAGCTTTCACACACGCTGTTCTTTCTGTGGGTAACCTCTCCTTAATGCTTCCTTCACCTCCTTCCCCTTTAGCCTGAAAAAGACTCACTCATACATTGTGTATGAGTATATAGATGTAGATGTAGATGTAGCTATAGATGTAGATGTAGATATAAATATCAGAGAAAATATCACCTCCCCATGCAGTCTTCCCAACAACCACAACAGGATTATGAGCTCCTTCTGGTACACCTGCTGACTACCCTTTGTGTCCTTTCACTGCCCTAAGGTTATATTACAATAGTTTGTTATTGTTCCAAATTCTACCCTAGACGGTAAGCTTCATGAGCAAAGGAGCTGTGTTTCGAACTTGCTGTGCATTATGTTTCATGGCCCTGAATACAGTATTTACTCATTAAATGTATGTCAAATTAAGAGGGGGGGGTGGGAATAAAGAGACTAGCAAAATATAAAATTAGTAAAGACTTAAATGACTTCAATAAGGAACAAGACTTTTAATATTGAAGCATGGAGAAGAGATATTTCAACGACTATTAATTTCCAAATTAGGATATTTTTGGTAAGACATAATCATGATGATTATGAAATACCAAAAATTGTATGCAATTTTTTCTTGTGGCTTTGTTCCTACTAGTCACTGAAAACTCACAGAGATTATAGTACTTTTATTGAATGGATCCCTCTATTTGGGAACTAGCTGTACTCATAAAATTGTCTGCTACTCAGCCACAATAGTGTGGTTAAATCAACCACAACAGCCTGCTCTCTTTTCTCTCCATGAGTGTGTGTGTGTGTGTGTGTGTGTGTGTTATTTGAGGATAAGACTCTGCCTTATTCCCCTCTCACTGTTCACGTGACAAAGTCACTTAAAAACATGCTTATTGTATGGATCTGATTGGGGCAAATACTTTTGCATCCATAGCAACGTGGATAGGATATTCTTAGTCTGGACCTGGCTTATCCCCTGGGCCATTCTTCCCCAGTAGCCTTGTTATCCTGCACTTTTTCCAGGACTTATTCCAGAGGGAAGGTAATTCATTTTCTGCTTTACCCACCAACTTCATTCTGTCTGCAGGGTGGAAAAATTGAGGAACCCATTTAAAAAAAACCATTTAAAAGTCACATTATCACTGGCTCTCCCTCACTGGGAATGAAGGCTGTGCCCTGTATCCTTTGGGCTTACACACGGGGGTATTATTTTTTCCCCTCCTTTCCATAATATCACTTTTATCAATAACCATTATTGTATATGGGTTATGCTGCCAGGTGTCCTGAAACAGGGTTGAGGTGTGAGGCCTTTTTATCTTATTGTTTAGCTACACCTATATTTACAGAATGCAAAATTCCCAAGGGATGAATACCCCATTGTTCCCAAGACTGCCCCTAGTCTTCCCCACTTCCCTCATGGAGCAGCTGTCTTAAGGGGACAGATGAGCGAAGCCTGCCATCATGCTGGGCTGACAAATCATGTGCGAAGACATATGGGAACCACATTTTCTCATATTACTTCTTCAAATAGGAATCAAATTGGTCTACAAAACATACATCTTTGTGACAACCAAACTGACATATGAGCAGAGAGTCTTGTGAGGAATGACTCCAGCAGCACCAGCAGTGTTGAAGGATGTGTGTGAATGGAATTCACAGTCAAAAAAGCTAACTGAGAGGGCCCAGCACCTCTCCTGGCGTTTACACTCACTGAAGGCGAGAACATTTGGATGCATTTCAAACACTGCAGTGTTTACAAGCATAAACATTCTAAGACACACGGTGTGGAATGTGGAGGTATGTGCCTTCTAAATAGCTTATCCTGACAACCTATTGCCAATTTTTATTTAATATTGAAGCGCTTCACTAGCTTGGGATCTTTAGCACGTGTGAAATCTTGTATTTTAAAGAAATATACTGCCATCAGGTAAGCAAGCAACACTCTTATCTACTGAGTATCTCTTGTCTTGGACATAGTACCAGAGATGACACTGAACAAGCAAGCATAGTCTCTGCCCTTATAAATCTGACAATTCTGTTTGGGTGACAAGGCTACAAGTGAATCAAAGAACAGCAAATAGAGACCAAAAATAAGAAATAAAAAGATTGGCTTCATTAGGAGGTAAATACTCAATTAACTTAAGGGAGGGCAGAGTAGGTATTGTAGGAATCTAAAAGGAAGAGGCAGCTGCTTTCAGCTGGGGGTTCAGAAAGGCCCCAGGGGAGGTGGATATGAGAGAGGTCTGGTGAAAGGAGAGGATCAGGGAAGGTGGAAAGGCAATCTGGCTGGAGGGCAATGCTGTGTCCAAGATCTTGGAGAATAAAGCTAGTCAGATGGCACAGATCAGAGAGGCTCTGCGGAAGAATGTAAAGAGATGAGAGAGATCTAAACACCCTTTCCTCCACATCCCTCTTGGAGTAGGCCTTGTAACAGTGCAAATACCCCGCCCCCCTCCCTTAATTCAATTAAATTCTGGAGAAAATGTTCTTCCAGATTTTGAAGTACAATGGCAACGTATAACAAGAAACTTCATAGAGATTTTTGAAAATCTAATTTTTGAAATCTGAACCAAACTCACAATGCTGGTTATGGTTAATTAACTATACACGATTTCTTTTTATTTCTCAATACAAATGCCTATTTTTAAACTAGGGAAAAATTAAATCTGTTTTAAATGAAAAGATGGACATTATGGTGGTTAAGAGTTTTGTTATATAACTGAAACCAATACAAAATAATATTGACAAGTAAAGTATAACTTAAAAATAAATAAATAAGTAATAAAATCAGTTCTTCTGCGCTATTTGTAGCTAGAAACAAAGTAATTTACTGTTACCGCTCTTGTCCTGCAGTGTCCCAAAGCTGAAGGTGCACCTTAAACGCTTTCCCTGATGATCCATTTGGCCCTTGTGTATTATAAACCTGAAAGATATGATTTTCATCAGTTTATACTGCTTTGGATTTTTGTCAACATTCAAATTCTCTGGGTTCACTCAACATGTTTTTTTTTTTTCTCAATTACTATAATCAAAGTTCATAGTGCAGGATAAATATTTGCTCTGTTTTTTTTTCCCCAGAAGTATCACATATACTCTCACTTTTAAATGTCAAGTACAAGTATGATTTTCAACACAGTTTAGGCATACTGCAAACTTAAATTAGACACCTTCTGTCATTTCCTCATGGAGGCAGCAAGCAGTTGATTTAGGACCCAAGTTCTAGGTTCAAAAATCAACCCTTCATTTAACCTTTCTGAGTCTTATTTTCTTACCTGAAAATTGAGACCCATAATTTCTCCCTACTTTACAGTCACTGCAAATTTAAATGAAATACCAAATGTGAAGGCATTCTTAAAACAGTAAAATGATTTACAAATACCTGAATATCTTTTACTGTGCGTTGGACTTTCAGAACAACTTAGCCATGGCATTTGCTCAGAATTTCTCAATAAGTTTACACAGGATATTTCAAGTCTTCCTTTATTAGCCATTTCTTTCAAGGCTATTTTTAAATTCTTTAAATTATGGTCTTTTGACTTCTTATTAAGCAAAGCAGAACAATTTTAATATTTCATCAGCTCCCTTAAGTACAGCTTAGTGAAATGTTTCAAAGGGAAAACTACAAGGGCACCTACCTAGCTCAGTGGGTGCACTCAGGAGGGGAGAAGGCACGGGAAGACCCTGTAGGGGCTGGAAGCAAATTTGCTAAGACTACACTCCAGTGTATGGGCTTCAGATAAGGCACAGGACATTATAAGAAACCATGATTTACCTTCTCAACCATCATTTCCTTTGTGTGGGTTTTTTTTTTTTTTTCTTCTCAACCATCATTTCCTTTGTGTGTTTTTTCTCTCTCAATTCTTGAGGAATGAATAGATCTGTGACATCAACTGGGAGCTGCAGCCATCTTGGCAATCGAGAATACCTTGGGTGGCAGTAACTCTGGCAAAGCTTATGTGCCTATGCTACACGTCTCACATGTCACAATATCTTTATTCCTGTCATTAGCGTCTCGCATAGGAGAAGGAAGTGGTGGCAATTCTCACTTAAACTCCCTTATCTCGGAAAATAGCATGGATCGGTCTCACATTCTGTTCATAATCAGCTAGTGATTGATGGCTGAGTCTACACATAAATAAAAACGCAGCAAGAACTTACAAAACTCATGTTCCAGCTATTTGCCAATCACTCTTTTGACGTCTTTAAGAGTAGAAAAATGAACACTTGTTCTTTTTGAGGGACTTCACTCAGATTAAGAGTTAATGTTTTCCCATCCTGAATAATTCAAGTTTCGAAAGAGTCCTTAAGAATTTGTAGAAAACACACTATATAAACTCATACATTATTTATTTTAGTTGCCCTGTATACTTTTGGAGATAAGCGATAGTGTCACTCAACGTCTTTCTGTGCAAAATGTTATTTATAGTGGGGAAAGTAAAAAAGTACTATAAATTAAAGTGACAGGTCATAAATCGCATGTGATAAAAGGCAAATGTCTCACATGCAATAAACACAGCTTCTTAATTCTTAGCTCATCTGGGAGGGTCAGCAATAAGCTTACCAGTATGGGTAAGAACTCACCACACGTTTTTCCCGGAAGTCTATTCCTACTGTTGTGATGAACTTGGGATTGAATTTATTGTCTGTGTATCGGTAAAGAAACGTCGTCTTCCCCACCCCCGAATCTCCAAGGGCCAGGAGCTTGATCAGATAATCATAGTCCCCATCGGTCATAGTGATGGTCTTGTTGGGCCTGTGTAGAAGAGGAATAATATTTTGTTAGGTTTCGAAGTTTAAAATTTTGAGTGCTTTCATTCTGCCACATTCTCACTCAACTTGTTCTGAGCAGCTTCAGGAGTAAAAGCACAGCTATTATTTCAGTCAGTACAAATCTTTTCACATCAGGTCAGTTCATACGGACAAAAGCTACATGGTATCTATAATAGACATTGACACAGCAATAGGAGAACTAAAGAGGCATCACTTTTTGTTTTAAAGCCCTTTGGGGTCAGGCATATGGTGCTGGGAAGAGGCGGTAGTTACAAAGGGAACAGAAAGCCCACCCACGATGATGCAGGCATGCCAGAGAGAGGCTGACATTGTATTTGGGTAGCGGACGAGGAAAGCCTAGAGGGCTATTTTGCATCTAATCATACAGAATGAGCTTTCTATCATGTGCGAACAAAATATTCCTTTTTAATTTTAAAATTTTAACAACTGGTATGACAACCTTTAAAAACACTAATTTGAAGTCATTTTAAAAGCAATGTTTAAAAATCTTCTGTTTTGGAATACAAAAGACTGTTCTCCAGTGGTAAATCTGTTATATTTGGCAAGTCTGCTAAATGTTTTCCAGGCATTAAAAAAAATGGGGGAAGAGATATTAAGAGACATAATTGTGGTAATTCTGCTAATATGTAATATTTCTCCTGACTGAAGGAACAATGTCAGTTGGCATTTCTTCCAGTGCCCTAACTTCTGCCTCAATCTTTTTTTTTCTGTTGTTACAGTGATTATGAGTGAAGATGAGCCAAGGGCCAATGCCAAGTGCACCTACACTGGTAACATCAAGACTACCTCCACACACACTTGAAGGACACCACCACCTACTGAATACTTGGTGAAGTTTCCAATCTTGAGTTTGGCAAAATGACTGGTGGGTTATAGACATGGTTTTGTCATAACCTTGTATAGAGAAAGGCCTATAAAGATTATATTGGAGTGGGAAGGCTTCTTTCCTTACTCTGCAAGAAGGAATGTTCTCCCCACCTCTATACTAGTAGATCCAGAAATCATTGTACTCTTCAGGAGTTCTGAAGTGATTAAAATTAATTTCAATAACAGGTTATTCCATGGATATATCTAAACTTGTTAGATTATTCTAAAAATTTTCTACATGAGAGGAAATGATACACATGTTCATCAATTTAAATGAAACAATTTTTTTTTTATATTGTCACTGTAGTTAGTGGTCAAAACGAAAAGACTTTATGTCTTGGGATAAATAATAATAAAGATGATAATTAGGTACTTAGCAAATCAGTACCATTACATCCTTTGGAAGATTTGCAATTTGTTTACATTAGAATTTTCTAAAATTTGGACCATACACTTGCTAAATCCTACTCAAGTTCTTGTGGGTTTATGGTTCTTTCATTAATGAGTGGTTCCTGAGGACAGGTGCTTCAAGAGCTGCCAATGCATAATTTTGCACAAAAGCTTTTCTTCCCCATTCTATGCTTTCTTCACTGAGTCAGGACTCCCAGGGTGGTTGCTGACCATGAACGTTTACTTTTTCTTTTTTAATATCTAATCATTGCTCAGGAGAGGCCATCAACCACCAGCCTTCCTTAGTTAGAGGAAACAGATATCTCAACTACTGACATGGACTTCTTCTCGGAAAATGCCTGCACTGGTTGACAGCAACTACCTCTGAGTTTGGGTGGTTCTAAATCTCTTACCAGGAGTTTCTAGTTGAAGATATTGATGCTTAAGTCTTTGAGCAAAATGAGTTGCTAGAAAAGATTGCTGCTAACGTCTCATGATTTCCCCTCATTTCAGGTCTATTACCACCACTACTCAACTTGTTCATGTAAAGCTCTTTCTAAGTCTGTTATTTCACTAGAAGAATTGGATGAAACTGCTAAAATTCTCATGGGAAAATAAAGAGATTAATGTTTATTCAAACTAAGACATCAGTGACCAGAGCCTTTTTTTTTTCTTGGACACACACATTGATAATCTGGGAAAGAAATTGAAGCCACTTGGCTGCCTAAATACAAGCTCAGATTGCAGGGTACTGTGGCTCCCTGGAAAGTGAAAACAATGCAGCCAAGAAGAGAGATATAGCCGAAACCGGTTTGGCTCAGTTGATGGAGCGTCGGCCTGCGGACTGAGGGGTCCCGGGTTCGATTCCGGTCAAGGGCATGTGACTGGGTTGCGGGCACATCCCCAGTGGGAGATGTGCAGGGGGCGGCTGATCGATGTTTCCCTCTCATCGATATTTCTGACTCTCTCTCTCCCTTCCTCTCTGTAAAAAATCAATAAAATATGTTTAAAAAAAGAAAAGAAAAAAAAGAAGGTAGATATATCAGCATACTTTAAAACTTGGTTTAAAGTTAAGTGTGTTTTTTGCAATGTTTTTGTGACAGTGTCAAGGAAGGCAAATCTAGTCTTGAGCAAATCTAGTTAAATATCTTCAATATATAGTATCAGATGAAAATTCAAAAAATGTAAGTCATAATCTACAAGGCATACATACACTTAAAACTTGAATAAGAATGCAAGAAAAATGCAACATAACTTTACAAGACAGAACATGATTAAGTGATAAATGATTCAAATAGCTGTACTTTCAGTTGTAACAAAACATTAGTCCTCATGGTCTTCCGTGGTCTGAGAACCTTTTGTAGAGGAAGAGAACCTTATAGCATAGGGAGGGATTTAGTCCAAGAGGAGGAGACACAGGTCCATTGCAGGATGATTATCTCCCACGTGTAGAATGAAACTATGATTGTTTGCAAACTATGTGTATTCCTGGTCTGAGCCAATTTGTTCCCTTGTTCACACATAAACCTGCCTGGGCAATACTGGGGTTGCCTCCCAGCCAGGCTTTAATCCAGAGTGAATAATCCTGGCTCACATGGATCAATTCCACGGTGGCCCACACTAGCTCTTTTCTGTAAGTAAAGGGTTTTGGGCACAACCCTCACCACAAATTCTCCACCTGAAATGAATGCAAAACTTGGCACTGTGGAAAACCTACATTTAGTGTCTCCAACAGACTACTTAAAGAAACTGACGTGTTAAGCTAGGCGTCAGATAATTCGCCTCTAAGCCTCTTTCAAAAACAAATTTTATTTCTCCATCTTATATCTCTACACATACCTATATCTAACTATGCATAATTTTTATATTTAGTTTGGTTCCTCTTTTATTACCATGTGGTTTTCTGAGTCCTAAAATCATATGATCTCAGTATTCTATCCTTAGCATAGTACGTACAACACCACAAAGAAAAATAAAAGCCTTGGCAAGGTTTCCTCTTCTAAGAACTGGGCTAAAAATATGATCTGGCAGGGATCAGAGAGCTGACAAGTTTAGCAGTATTGTTTATTCCTGTTCCATGACTGATGGTCTTGTCCAGTTCTTGGTTCTATGGATCTACAAGGGAGGAAAAGCCAGAAGACTGCTGTGTTTCAGGAAGTGTGTCTGACTCTCCACCATTATCACTGTGTCACAAGCTATACCACACAAGCCAGGAGGTCCTTTAGATATAGAAACTGAAGTGTCATCGTTAGAGCCCTTCATGGAAAGGTGTGGGGCTGGCAGAGTAGGGAAACTATCCCAAACACCCAGGAGGCTCTGTTTCATAAAGATTCATAAAGACAGAAGGAAATGTAAGTAATCATGTGGGCTAAGCCTTCAGTGTATGGATAAGTCATGCGACTTGTAGGGTGACAGTTTCTCATAGAAGGAAATCCAAGACTATTGGTCACTATATTTGAAGTGAAAATTGGGTTACATAAGAAGAAACTAGAAACATTTTCATAAGTGGGAAGAAAATCTCCTCTGGGCATTAACAGGAACACGATTTTCATTGTTAGAACAGCTAGAGGTTGCCCATAGTTTCTCTCCTTTTCTCTTCCCTGCTATGCTTCATTCTTGTTCAATATAAATTCCATTAGTTCAGGAATATCCTCTGTCCACTGCTGGTTCCACAAAGACCTAAACAGGGACTGGTGTATAGTAGGAGCTTAATACCTATGTATTGGGTGTACAAATATATTTAAGCCTCTCAGAGCTGTGCAAATGTCATGATTAATCAACTCATCCCAGAGCAGTTGATGGAAGTGGTGTGTCACTCCAAGTTCAGGACTCATCTGTGAAGTGAATTTTTAGATGAAATGATTACTTGGTACTTTCCAGATCTGGCTTCCCAAGCTCACTTTTCAATTATAAATTGCACAAAAGTATATAAAAAAACCACACTTCTGAAATAGAATATTTATATTTTTAGAGGATCCCTTCCAAATAACCTGGGGAAAATGAAATATAGCAGGACCATAATTTATGGAGGTGAGATTTGTGCTGGCAGAGTTTATAAAGTTGTCAGTTGAATACGTCAGTCCGCTGAGAACTGGACTCCTCCATGAAAGCATCCATTCACCCATCTAACACACACTCACCGGCACCTCTTATTTGGCATGGTTCTGAGGATACACTCTGCTTTCTCTAGTGGGAAACTTAACCAATGCTACAGATATGTATGGATGACCACTATCCAGACAGACTTACCCATGCAAAATGATGCTCTTTGCTAGTTCTCCAAGTAACAATCTTACGAACACCATGGCAAGCTATGACCTTGTGACTTGAGCTTATTAAATTAATAAACACCAACTTAAGCTTACCCATGCAAACTGATGCTCTTTGCTAGTTCTCCAAGTAACAACCTTACGAACACCATGGCAAGCTATGACCTTGAGCTTATTAAATTAATAAACACCAACTTAACATTCTTAAGGCACATTGGAAAGCTTAAAATAATAGAAAAACAAAATATCAGTAATGTTATTTTGTATTCAGTTTAGATGGTTTCAGTAAAATAAAGCTGACAAGCATAAAATGGACAGAAGTTTAATAGGTCCTCATTTATCTTTGGATGGTTTGTGTTGGGCTCCAGTAGGTACATTTTGAGGTCTGGGATTTTCATAGCAAGCACTTCAATTGTCTGAATGATAGCCTGAGGGC